TGCTTGAAATTATTTCTCATCTTTATATAAGAAAATCCTTCAAAATGTACAAGGAATAAAAAACAAAAATATGAAGAGTCCTTCTCATCATAACATGTGTGTATATTTAAATGTGTAATGTAGACATGAAATAATAAATTTCATATAGATATGTGAGAGTATTGTTACGTCGAATTTCGTATATTATGTACTTTTATGTACTTGTCATATATTTTACCGCAAAAGTAAAAATTGTTACTTATTGACTTCAAAAATTCAAGGATTAACTTCTTACAAAAATTTTATTCATATAATAAATTTAAACAATTTAAAAGATTCTGATTTCGCGTGTATATATTAGCCCCTTAAAATATGCTATTGAAGCTCATAATTTGGAATTTTATAATTGGCTGATGGAAACAAGTTAAATTTAATTTACGTGCATGCCTTAAAGTTGCTTTTGCCAATTAAAGATTATTTTTTTAATAAGAGTTTGTTTTTCTGACTTATTTGTATTGGATCTCTTTAAAACTGCATTTTTTAAATTAACAATTATTCTAATCTGGGCTCTGACCAGACAATTTAAAGTAAGCTGGAACATTCTTGTCGCCCTCTTCAATGAATACATTGTGTATATACCTTTTTTTCTACAAATTTTTCTCTACGAGTATAAAAATATTAAAGAAAATTTCACTATTATTTTCTTTCTTTAAAGATATGTAAACTATTTTATTAGGAAAGGGTTGATCACATCCTAATAACTGGTGTTGAATTGATAAAAATAAACTCATAATTTAAATATGAAATGTGTTTTGTTTCATATAATTTATAAATATATATAAGACAATCTAAAAAGACTCTAAAGTTTTCCTTTATTTACCACCATATTAATTCTTTTAAGTGAATTCATATACGGTACGTAAACTTTAAAATTAATGGGACGTATTTGATATTACACAACACACAACAAAATATATAGTTAAAAAAGTGCACGTTTCTCCTACTTATATTTACATTGTCACCATCTCCTATACATTGTCACCATCTCCTATATATACATTTCAACAAATTATACACGTTTGTTTACTAAGAATAGCTGATTATCTGTTATTTTAAAAAAATATCTTTATATACTACGTACATATGTATTTTTATATCATATTGCTTGAAGGTATATCATTGTTTATTATTAAAAAATATTTGTTGCAAGTTCATTGAAAAAATTATTATTTTTTAATAGTATATGAGATATAAAATTATTTACAATAGCATTATGCAGAGAGGCAAAAATATAATAAAATATTCAACGGAATTGAAATTAGAGAAAAGGCTTATACTTCGCTCCTCCAAGCTTTATACATATGTTAATATCAAAGTGGCAAATTGGTAATTTATCAAATACTTTTAATCTAGTGTCTACTATCATAAATGGTGCTTATTGTGAGTATCGAATCACTAAGTGTTGTTTTAGACTATCGTATGTTACAACCTTTAAGAGAGGCATCGTTCACTTGATTATCTTTTCCAATTGGATTTTGTGACAAATTAAGTTACAACATATTATAATTAAGTTATAACTGATGGTGCAATTTTTTCAAGATTTCGTGCACAAACTAAAATTTGGAAATCGCGTTATTGAATTATTTTAGAAATAAAATATTTAAGTATAGGTATTCTGAGCCGAGCCTCTAATTTACTTTAATTACTAACTTTTCTCCGAAGGAAACCGAGAGCCTACCAGAGAAGGAATTATAGTAGTACATCCTTCCATAACAATGCCATTCAATACATCACATTTAAGGAAAAATTTAAGTATAGCATAGGATACGTTCGTCATTTCTATTCCACTATTTCTTTGGTAGCTTATATAAAATTGCGTTTTAAATGAAATTACAAATAAACATCAATAAAATAGAAATGCTTAAAATAATTTCGATAAAACAAAAGTTTATAATTTAATTTGGATTTAAAAACTCAAATAGCACAAGTGTTATTGATTTTTAAATTTCAGAAATACTTTTTTTTTTCTTAAAAATCAACAATTATTTTTATATCAAAACAACAGTCTGAAATTACGTATTGTGTATATGTTTGTGCTACGCGAATATTTATTATTATTTAATAACCGTATCTTAACAGAAAGTATATCACATAATATGGCATTCATTAGATTTTAAAAATCTTTCCGTTCTCTTTTCTTAGATATTTTTTACTTACCTAGCTATTCAAATTGGCTTTTCTCATTTCACACAATAGAACAATTATCTATTTTTTTTACATATTGTTTTTAGCTCTAATCTGTATTCTGTTTGCAGATTTCATTATTCAAAAGCTTTTTATATATATATATATAAGTTTGGTGTATATATGGAATTCTCCTATATTTTCCTACATCTACAACAAGTAGAATGACAAAGTTATAAAATTTTATTTTACGTACATGAGTATGTTTATACAAGATGCTGAATATTAAAATATTCATGTACGTATCGTATGTATATAACTAAATTGGAATGGAATAAAACCTTGTTTATAAGAACAACGTGGACCGTAAAATTTACTATATACGGTTTAAGCTAGTTGCATTGTGCTTACAAAAATTTGTCATTAATTACAGAAATTGTTTTATGCCTTTGTTTCCAAGCAAAATTTAAACGCATCCAAAAGAAGTAAAATTTTATAAATATTGGAGACAAAAATTTACTCGTGTAATTATTTGTAAACTTGAGTATTTCGTCGAAGATGTACTTATAATTAAAATTGATTCTCATTTCTTAATTTTGACAAATTATTTACAATCCTATTTATTGAGACTGAAAACTATATTTTTGGTTTCAACACAATCTTACCCAGATCTTTCAAATGTGTCAGAAAAATTCTACAGTATCAAACTGCAAAAAATTTTGGGGCCACAAAACTGTTTTGTTAGTGCGGACTACAAACGAGATACATTTTTTGAGAATTCTGAGAAATATAAAAGAGAAAAGAGGAATAATGTTCATAAAGTGCATGAGGTATAAATAGTCTAAACCATATCTAAATATGTTGCTGCCAAAAACGACATAAACACATCTTATAACATCACACATATATCAAAGTCGTATTTCTTGTAATGTAGCGTATATAATGAAACCAAGAACAAAATTTTAAAAATATATAAAAAAATATTTTATAAAAGAAATAAGAATACAAAGCTAAAAGAGGAAATAAAAAACAATTTTTCTTTTTTTGAAATAAATATAGGATTCTTTAACAAGAAAAAAATGATAGCTTCCCCATTTTCTCTATAATTTCAACCCCCTTTGAAATTCTCTGAAAGAAATTCCTATAGAAAACAAAACAAAAGTGAACATATTTTTTACAAATTACAAGAAACTTCGTGACACATGATATTTTATTGTTTCCTTTAGAAAAAGCGAAGTAAAATGAAAAACAAAGGAAACTAATTTTAAGGGAAAGGCGAAGAACTATCAAGTATATATCAAAGTATTTAAGATTTATAAAACCTTTAAATTATAAAGAGAAAAGAAGCATTACATAATAAATCCCACACTTATTTGGAGAAATCTGTTCAGGTATTTAATGAAATTTTAATTAGACATGAAAAATCACAACACAAAACTATTTAGTTTTTATAATAAAGAAAGAAATAATATGGGGGTGGACTTTTATTGATTAGAAAATTGTGCTTCAAAAGCACATTGCACTCATATTCTTCTTTTGGATAAAAAACCTTTAATTTATATGGTCCTATTAATATAATATTTCAGATGAAAAATAAGTTAGTATGAGTAAGAAATGTTGTTTCTAAATTGATAAAACGTACCAAGCAATATATTTTCAAAGAACTCGAGGATTTCATTATTTTAATATTTTCTATTTCATTCTTTTTATTTGCGTATATATTAAATATATATTAGAATATATTTTATAGGTTGAAATATAATGCGACCAAGAGGACAGTGTACGTTATAGCGCTGTCCAACACAAATACAAATATTTCAATATAGACAACATCAAGGGTAAATCAAGCTTAAAGATTTAAAGTCATGGAAACTTTTTCGGAAATAATTTTTTTTTAATAAAACAAAAGCAATAACCCAAAAAAAAAAGTAATAATAATAAGTTCCCACGGCCAACCACCCCTCCTAACCCGCACGCGAGGGAGTCCACAAATATTTTTTTATTATTATTATTACTAAAAATAAATTTTTTTTAATTTTTTTATAATTTTTAAAAATTTTTTTTTTTAATATTTTATTTTTTTATATTATTTTTTATTTTTTTTAACAAAAGCAACAAAAATTAAAGCAGAAAGCGAATAGAAAATGCTAGAAAAACGCATCCGTTTATCCTTTGAACGCGCTCGATTCCCAGACCATTTGTTTTGGCCAGCTAAATGCGCGATCCGTGTCAAAAAACTCCCTTCCCCATTTATAATTGTCCGTCGTGGTGCTTGGTTTTGAAAAGAAACTGGAGTAGCTTCTTGACCTCTCCAAAAATCCTGTCGACCTTTCAAATGTGGTTGCCAAAAGACTTGACTCACTGCCACATGCCGTGTAGAATGAAGAACTATCGCTACTTGCAGTGTCGCTACAGGCCGTTAAAAATACCGAACTATCGCTGCGAGGCGTACAGATAAAAGTCCTATTCGAATCCTCGCTGGAGACCGAATAGAATGACATGTTCTTATAGAGTACGATACAGGGAACAATTGGCTCGTATTCTTCCAAAATTATGTTCCTTATATTCAATCGGGTTGCTTGAGAGTCGTCATCCATTGTTACATATTCCTTCTCTAGATCTCCATTTTCAATCTCAGCTAATGGATCGAATATACGCGCACGTCTATATAAACTAAGCACACTTTCACAACATAAAAACACAAAACGACGCACAAATGTATAAAAAAAATATAAAAAAACACAATATTCACCAGAGCGATACTCAAACGCGCATTGACGCAAAATTTTATAAAAATAATAGAAAAAAGTAAAGGCAATTAAAATCAAAGCACTTACCAAAAGCACAGGGTCCATTTTCTGTCAAAAAAAAAACAGAAAAAATAAATTTCAGTTTAGTCAAAAAAATAAAATTTTAGTAAGTTAAAAAAAAATCACAGTAAGTAAAGAAATGTCATTACATTAAGAAAAAAAAAATTTGTGTTGGACGTCGTATAGAAATCAGAAATTTTTATTTTTTAGAAAAAAAGAAATATAACAATAAAAAATGCAGATTTTTTTTTTATTTTTATATTTCTTTTTTTTGCACAATTTTACACACAAATTTTCAATGTTTTTTTAAAAAACAAAGAAAATTAAGAAAAAGAGAAAAAAATTTAGCCCAAAAATTAATAAATTCAAAGAATTCTAAAAAGCGCGGATTAAATCCCTTGAATTTACAAATTTTTTTAATAAAAATGCTTATTTTCACGATTTATTCGTTAATAAATCGTAAAAATAATTTTTAAATTTTTTTTAAGCAAAAAAAAGAAAATATTTACCGCACGTCCGGTTCTTTCAAAATTTTTTCTTCAATTAATGTAAAAAAATTTGTGTTCGTATTTATAGTATTTTTGTTGTTAAAAAATTCTCAAAAAAATCCTGCGATCAAAAAATTTTTCTACATAAAAATTTTTTGAAAATTCTTTAATCAAAATTTTATTAGAAAAAAAAAATAAATCAAAAATGTCAACACAACAAAATTATATTTTCTATTAAAATCAAAACGAAAATAAAAAAATTTCATTAAATCTAAAATGTTCTTAAAGAAAAATATCTTTTTAATTTTTTTTTAAATTAGCTTCCGAAATCTAAAAATTTTTTAATTCTGCTTACTTTTTTTTAGCTCAATTTATTAACAATGAAGAGAAGAGGCGAAACAAAATAGGGAAATTCTTATTTGGGAAAAAGGGAAAAAAGGCAATCCAGAAAACAAATGGAACCGGTTTTAATTAAAATCAATTTGGTAAAGAAAAATTTCATATATAAATTAAATTGGGGAGGATTTTTATCATAGCACACTGCATTTTATTAGTATTTAATTAAGCAACACTGAAACTTTAAAGGAAAGTAACACCAAGACTAAAATTCTATTTTAAAAGCAAAATAGAATTTTGCGGTATACAAAATATTGCCTGTTATTTTGGTTAATAGAAAAATCAAATCTAAATTTTTTATCCAGATTTCTAAAACAGTAAGAGTGTTGGCAGCTATGATTTTTTGCTAAAATAAGGATTATGTTGCTTACCTGGCTTAGTTATTCCAATAATATACAACTAAATTTCTTCATCAATATTATGTATATCTTATAAAATGTTACAAAATTCTTTGAATTGTTTCAATTAAAGGGTAAGTTTTCTTTTTAAATTTTTTTCGAAATTACCTTCTAAAATAATTTTTAGCTCAAATTAAATAACCAACAGCGAATGAAAAAAATTCATTACTTCAACATAATAATCAAAAAGAAGAAAAGATGGAAGTAAAAATTCATTTATAACATTATGTTAAAAGTAAAATTTCAACTCGACCAATCCATTTCAAAAATTATTCCAGTAATAGAAAGCTCAAGTTTGATTTTTTGAATCCAGATTTCAAACGAACTAAGAATGAAAATGGCAGTCCCCACTTCATCATGAAATAAACAATTTTATTATACAAATAATGATTTTACAACGCGGGAATAACACAAAGCATGCCAATTCGAAATTAAATTACAATAGGAAATCTAATATTAGTAAATGACTTTTACTTCGATAACCTAACTAATTGAAAATAGTTATTTTCAAAGTCGTCATCAAATAACAATTTTGAATAAATGAATTGTTGCTTTGTACAACACAGCTTTAAGCTAATTAAGCCTTCTTTGTATAACAAAGAAAAAATTTTTAATTCAATCAAATTTAACAATTTAAAGTAATAAGTCCGACGGTTTATTAAGAACCCTGCAATCTGTTAAACAAAATTTTGTAAACTGCTTTTTGTATATCCAGTTTTATGTACTTATCGTATTTAATTAATTGGCTTTCATAAATATTTTCATACAATTGCAAGTTTGTAGCAAAGCACATTTAAAATTCAAAAGAGTCTTTATTATTCCTACAGAATAATTTTACATTGTAAATAAAATTATTTTCTTTTCTTCTCTGTGATAAAAAGAAAATGTTATATTCTAATTTTTAATTAATTTGTACCAATTATTTCAATATTATGACATTTACATTCAATTTAAATAATAATATGCATTAATTATTAATGCATATAGCTGTCGTACTATTATGTAAAATAAAATTTTTAAAATAACAAATTTTGTTATACAAATTAAGTATAATAAATTGTTAAATCAAATGGAACAAACATGATCATTTCCAAAAGAATTTCCATATTGTAATTTCATATTGAATCCGCCAATTATCGTCACGAAGAAATAAAAAATATTGCAAAATAAATTTCAATCGATTTAACTACTTAAAGTAGTTTTTATAAAAATGCATGCAAATGTTATACATATACACATATTTACATACATAAATAAATGGATTACATTTTAACATGTCTTCTTTACAATTTTTGCCTACACTATCCCAATTTAAATTCCGGAATTTTATGTAAATAAATATTTGGAATAATATTCATGGTTCTTATTAAAAAAAATATAAGACGTGGGAGTTGAACGTGATTTCAATTTAATTGAAATTTTTAAAAATTATTTTTTATAAAAATTTAAAATTTAATAACATTTTAATTGTATGTATAATTAATATCAAAATATTTTCATTTTCCGTGGAGTTTAAAGGTAGGCAGGAAAAATTAATTGATTTATTTATTTATATTGTATAACAAATCATTTATTTACATAATAAATCAATTAATGTGTAAATAACAATAGATTTTAAGCACGTATATGTAAAGTTCAAAAATTCTATTGTTGTTTAAAAAAAAGGTTTTAATATTTATTTATTTAATTATAATAAAATTATTAATAAATTTAATATTGCGGTAATGGGACACGTATATTATAATTATTTCTTCTAACTATAAAGTGAAAGTAACACGTACTCAACGGATTACATTGATTTGCAAAATTTTATTTTAGTAACCAAAAAAACAACTCTTGAGGTTGAAAACTATCTGTGTTTTTTTTCAATTAGCAAGTTAAACCCAATAAGCAATTCCATTTAATCTAAAATGTACTTCTTGCCTAAAGCAAGGAAGAGAACAAACCGCAAACAAATCATTTTTTCATTCCTGTGCAGCTCTAACAAGTTTCAAAAGAAAATTTATTCACATATTTTATTTATGTGTATGAAAAAGCAACTGCACGTTGTTGTTTTTATTTTCAAATTAGCACAAAACCTGTTGTATATTAACTTTTATTTATGCTTCATTTAAAATTCATAAAAATTGAAGTATTTTAAGATTTTAAAAATTAATTTTATACAAAGTAACATCTCCTCTCTGTATGCTAGAGTGAATCTACAATTTTACCAAATTCATTTCTTCAGTCCCCCAACAGAAAACAATGAATCTCTTTCTTTTTGAAGAATTTGTCTAAATCTTGTTCATGGCTCAAATTTTTTTCTCAACATTTAGAAGATAATTTAGATATTCCATTACCCTTTTAAGTTTTTATTCTGTCTTGAAATTTTTACCAGTGCTTTTAATAGCATTTCATTACCATTTTGTTTGCTCACATGTACAACTGATAAATATTAATAAATTAAAAGAATTTCAAGAAAAAAATATACATCCATGAAATCTTTAATATCTTATTTTTATGTTAAATTTTTCCAGTATATTATTTATAAATTTCATGATATTCATTATAAAGAAATAAAAAATATACATTTTTAAAAAAGTACATTATTATTACCTTTTTCAATGGATTTCCAATTTAATAAATTTCAATTTTATAATTTTAATATCCATGTTTCGTATTATTTACTAAATTAATTGAAATTTTAAAATTCATTTATATATAAGTTTTCTTTTTAATATTCTTCTATATACAATACGGCAAATACGCATTTGGTTCACATGATTTTAAAACACTTTCACATTAATTTTTTTTAAAACTATGGCCTTCTATTTTATGTGCGGCATTTTAAAAATACTAGCTTTTGGCTTACATCTCTGAATTTTTAATATACATACATAAATGAAATTAATATATTGTAATTATGATTTTATTTTATATTTATGAAAAACACATTTTTTTAATTATTCGTTTATTTTAATAATTTATTGCAATATGCTTATTAAATTTAAAAAAAAAAATTTAATTCAATTATTATTAAAAATATTTTGCTCTACTAACACTTTATATTTTAATTTAATTAAAAAAATAATATATTAATACTTAAATAAAATTTATGTACTTATAGAATTTTGAACAATTTGTAAAAAAAATTCTTTAGAGATAATGAAATTTTGAGAATTTTAAAATGCACAATACGAGTATTAAAAAATTATCCAATAAAATGCAATTCAAATAAAATTTTTATTTTAATTTTTCATAAATTTCACACATTTCTTAACTTTATTATTTTAATTATTACAAAATTTATTATATATATAATTAATTTTAATTACATAATTTTTTAAATTATATAGGTACCCATTTTATATTTGTTATCTGGATTAATGTAAATTCAGTTGCTATTTTCCTCACTCTATTCAATAATGTAGGTATCCTATAAAATATGCATGTATTTATTTACTTAATATAATAATTATCTTAAATATATTTATTATAATTTTAATCCTTTTCTATTAATTATAGAATTAATATTCTCTATAATTTTTATATTACAACTTTTAAATAACTTTTATTAAACATGAATTTAAAATGCACAACAAGATAATAATTATTATTTCTATTATAAATTTTCAAAATTTTTTTACTTTATATATAATTTATTAATTAATATACAATAATTTTATGAATTATTTTATGAAAATGAAAATTCTATTAAATAACTTACATAATAATAATGTAAAAAGAATGTTAGTTATTAAAAATTACATGTTTCATTATCTACTTCATTATTAAATGAACAAATTTTTTACTGTTATATTAATTTTCCAGTTATTTTAATTTTGCATTTCAGATATTTTATAAAGAGAAATTTTTATTTATTTTTAATTAAAATTTAAAATTATTTATAATTAAAGTTGACTGTTAAAGACATGGGTTTTCATAAATCTTTATTATTCTTTTGAAATAAATTAACGCTAATGGTAACAGTATGCAATTATTAAATTATTTCATTACACTATAATTATCTGTTATATTGTAATTAATTTTTGTTTGAAGTCAATTTTTAAATTTTGGTCGATTCACTTCATACATATACACTCTAAGCATGTTTATTATAAAAAAATAAATTAGAAATACCGTTATTTCCTATTATATTAATAAATCTAATATTTTTTTACATTATTTGTGAACAATATTTAAGAGAATCTATACAGATGATAGAATGAAACACAAATTTTTAATACAAAAAATTATAAGAAACTAAATTGAAGATAAAAAAAAATTTCACAACCGTTATTTTTACTTTTGTATTATTTCTTCTTCTTTTATATTTTATATTTTTATTTTGTAATCCGATAAAATCGTTGTTATCACTTCGAATCCAATACTAAAACTGAAGACAATTTTCAATTTGCCGCCACACAAAATAATAAGTACTATGTGGAATTTTTAAAATATAAGCAAAGCAAAGCAATAAATAAAATTATGTTAACGGTTCTTTTTATTGTTTATTTTCTTGTTCCTCTCTCTCTCTCTCTCCTTTTCCTTTGTTATTTTCTCTATATTATTTTTTACTTTCTTGATTCAAAAAAATTTTTTGTGTGATAATTTCTGATGACCTTTAAGGAATTCTGGTTTCTTGAATGAATTGAAATTTACTAAAATGAACAAACAGAAGAAAAAAAACCTTTCTTATTTTTCCTCTACACACTTTATTTTATTCCTTTTCTTTTGTATATACTTACTCACATATACATGCTCAAATAATGTGTAAACACACGTATTATAATAAATGATAATGTTATACCAGTATAAGAACTGAAAATTATCTTGTATTTTCTGATATTTCCTTGAAATACTTTTATTCATCCTGTTTTTTTTTTACTAGTTTCTTTTAAGGTGCACAGCTTGCATGTGTGTGTACGCTGTACATAATAATAACAAAAATATTGATATCCACTTTTTTAAAATGTACATACATACATACATTTTTATTATTATTTGTTCTCACTGTAGAAAAGTGAAACTGCAAAAGAGAAAAAAAAATGTGTTTTAATAAAAATGAAAGTAAAAGGAAAAATATTTACCGTTATTATGGAATTACTCTATAATTTAGAATTGTTACTGTTACACATTTATAATATATTTATATTCATTTATATGTAGGACACAAAAAGAGGGGAGAATATAATATGAAAACCGGGAAATTTTCTTAAAAATTTCCTTATTTTAAATAGCTATTTTGAGCAGAGAAGAATTTCCCTTTTAGTACAAAATTAATATTTATGGAAAAGTAGAAAATAATATTGCAAATGTAGTTTATACCCCTAATTTGTAGCAGCTAATCTGAATCTTTAAATATTATGTAGTTTCTAGTAAGACGGTATTTAAAAACTAAGTGAATAAAATTTAAAATAAAAATTGTATTAATTTTTAATATAATAAGTTAACATAATATTACTAGTATTTTTTCGATAGATAAAAATCATAAGTTGAAATAAGAAAAAACTGTGGCAGTTCCAATAATCAAATCAATTGAGTTTGTTTAGCCCTTTCATCATGGAGAAACTCATGATCATTTAGGTTATTTTCTTTAAGCCTAGGTTTATATAAATACTCTTTTTTATATTGCCTGTCCGACGTTAAGCTTAACTTCGCTCAATATATAAGACACAATGGCTCGAAGTTGAACTTTCCAAATGAATTTCTAAAATGCCAAAATATTATATGAAAACGTATCACTTAAGAAGTAAAAAGAAGTAAGCACAATTTAGATTTTAATTAAAGAGAGAAAATCTTCACCACTTCTTATTTAAGAATTTTTTTTGTTTGACTAAATTTTAATAAAAATTTTCTCTGTTTTAATTAAATTTTTCTTATGGAATTTCTCCTTTTCTCTTAACTTAATAAATTTAAAATTTAATTTTTTTTTTAAGAAAATTGAATTAATAAATCATCATGAATAACAAAATATGTCAACTAAGGGTTATATTCTAATCTTTTTCGATCTTTATCTTATGAACTTTTTAGACCCATATTTATAAAAATTATTAAATTTAAATATTTTTAATAATTAATAAAATAATCAACAATTAATAATTCTATTTCTAAAAGCTCTAACATTTATTTTGCATTCATTCGAGTTTGAACCTTTAATCATTCGGCAATAAGGTTTCATTTTTAAATATTGTACTGAAACCTATGATTAATATATATGAACAGGTTAACCCCAGTTACTTAATTCAATGCAGCAAAAAGACATTTGCGTAAGAATTTAATTAAAAATTTGGAGAATTTTCTCCACCAATTTAGAATGCAATGTTTTAATTAATTACTATAATTTCGAAAAATATTTGCTATAGAGACTGAAGCGATAAATTTGTGAAACATACACTATTTAAGAAACTGTTACAAATAACAATAAAGCCTTGAACAGAAATTATAATTAAAATACTGAAATTACCAAACTCCTATTCATTCATCGTTTCTATAAACTATTTTCCTAACTTAAATGAGCGAAATTCCATTTTTATGATACCAATTTAAAAATTTACTAAAAAAAATAACAATAAAAGGCCATTCAATAGTAACAACCATTTAATCTTATTGAAATTTTTTCTATTTTTTGCTTTAATAATTTAACAATAAAGTAAAAAGATATTTTTTTAATTGTATTCTTCCTCCATTCCTAAATAAGAAAGGAAACAAATTAACAATTCCTTAAATTAAAGAAAACAAAAAAGGGACGAGAGGATAACTGTGATTTTTGCTTTTTTTGCTCCTTCAAATTAAATTATTTTTTTGAATTATAATTTTTCGTTTCTCTTATTTTAGTTTATTTTAAAATAAATTGAAAAAAAAAGAACTGTTCCCACTAAATTAATTTTGTCGGTTCATTTCCTAGGGTCTTGAAAATTAAATTACATGAGGAACTCTTAATCTAAAATTATAGAAATGTGCTTCATTTTAAATCATTAATTGAATTCTAACTTGTATCAGAAATGTGTTGATATTTTTTTTTTAACTTATAAATATTCCAAAAGTTCTTATTCACAATCATTTTTAATCTTATAATAATTTCAAAAAAAAGAAATGCTCATAATTTATTCCTCCCTATTTTTGTTAAGATTTATTTATTAAAAAACAATAAAAAATAAGTTTTCCGGCTTGAAATATACATGTGTACCAACAAAATGTGATGTCTATGATGATAGAGGGAGTTTATAAGGATATAAGAATGAATACATATATGTACATATATTATTAATATGGTTTTACGTATAGATTTAGAGAAATTGTGTTTCTGTGATTTAACATGCTTTACAATAAAATATTTTGAAATTTTCATTCTAAATTATTTAAACACTTACACTAGCTCGAGATTTTCTTTGTTATATTATTGTAGATGGTATATTTTAAGCACTGGATATATATCAATCAAAATATAGGATATTCAATTAAATTCAACTCTCCATTTCCATAATTACTGCCTCATTTCTTAATTTAATTCGGTTTTTCTTATATTCTTATGAATAAAGATGTTTTAAAATCTAAAAATATAAAAAAAGGTTTCATTAATTTATGTATATCTTAATTTGCATAACATGATTTGTGAATTAATACTAAGTATAGTAAATTATTAATAATTTTATTATAGGTCAGTTAAGCATATTTTAAAAGAAAAATTTTTTTAAAAATTCAAATTCTATGTATGTACGTTCTTTCCAATATCGACGGCTTATGGGGGAAAACCATCATATTTTACGTATTTAATATAGAAAAAGACCCATACCAAATTCACATTGTTAGTAATTGTACTGCAATATTATGGAAAATAAAGTACGTTTCTTTTAATTTACAATCTACATATTTTTATTAAGAATAATAGTGAACGAGTATTTTAGCATAGTTTCTAAATTATTCCAATTTTTTATCAAAATGTGGGGCTAGGGGGCTTTTCTCATAAGTTCTCGTTATGCTACTTTTATGTTATTAAATTAAAAAATTATTAGAACATACAAAAAGAATTTACCATCTCCTGACAGCAAAAAATTTCTTTTATAATTACTAATTATTTAGAATGACCTTAAAACTATTTAATTCTTATTAAATGTTACATTTATTTTTTCTTTTTTTTGTTTAAAATATTTGAAAAATTTTATTTAAAATTTTTTCTAACTTAAAACTAATCTCTTCATACATACATATAAATTGAATTTTTTTCTTTTCTGTGACAAAATATTTTGTACAGCATATTATTATGTAGGTATATAAAGGTCAGGATTAATATTTTCATATATTACGAGTGAGTAACGTATGTAGCTAGTAAGGAAAATATTTACCTTGATAATCCACAATATACATACTTAATAATAAATAATATTATGTTTAAGAAAAATATTTTTTTAAAATTCCTTGAGATTATATAACATGTGTCTTGGCAATTTTGTATTTTCTGTATTTATTTTTGTTTTTAACATAATCTACATGATTTAAAATTGCTATAACGAAATTCCTTTTTTTTTTGTTTTCCTTTTGTACAGAACAGTATGAGTTCTAAAAATTTTTATAATATTTTTTTTTATTATTTAATATTTTGAGAATATTTTAGAGAGAGAAATATAAAAATTCTTTTGGAAAATTTAATAATTTTCTTTAATTAGTTAATATTATGTAAGAACAATTTTATTTTTAAATTCAAATAAAATTATAATTTCTTTACATGATGTAAAAACCAATTATATAATTTAAAATAGAATGTAACACGTGTCCAATTATTTAGAAATGAAAATAGAATGTTAACCATTGAGGCTTGTAGGCAGAACAAATTTAATTTAAATCATTTTGATATATTTTAATTTTTATAAAAAAATTGAACATAATTTTATTAAAACATCACCCTGGATTACCAACCATGAGAAAAATTTACTCACTTCGAATTTCATTCACTTAAACCGAATATATTTAATATGTAATTTTTAATTTTATTGTCTGATCTTAACTACATTCTTTAATATATAATAAGAGCTATAATAATATAAACAAAAATATTGCTATGGTTCTGTAAATTACTATTCTAAGCCTAAGGTATTAATATATTAAATTCGTTTCTAGCAAAAAAAAAACCTTAAAAAAGAGCGATTTCTAACATTATGTGAGTAAAATTTACTCATAGTTGATATTCACGTAAAAACTTAAACAAAAAGTGAGTGCCAGAATTATTTAATAAAATTATACTTTAAAAATTAAAAAATTTCTTTGGCAATTTTATGACATGTGATTAAAATTCACTAACGGTTTGCAAAATTATAGTACTGAAATGGGTTGGCAATCCAGGGTTAAAATTTTAATGTTATTATTAAAAATTTTATTTTATTTTGAAGATAATCCAAGAAAATTCGAAGAAGATTTCTTTATTACTGATAATTTTGAGTACTGTACAATAGGAAATTATGATTTTAAACACAAAAGTCAATTTGTCAACTTACTGATGCTATAACAAAAATAATAAATTGCTTCATCATTCCTGAATAACTCATTTCATTTACACTATGTATATGCTTCGTCAAACTTCCGTAAAATTGGATAAGTAACTGGAAATCTCTTATTATCAGAAAACATAATTATATTTTAACTGATCCAATATTAATCGTCGTAATACACAAATAATGTATGTATGTTTTATGCTTCTTTCGATTTTTTATGGCCTCCTAAATGTATGCAATTTGAACGTAGAAGAAACGGCAATACATAATTAATTGTTTTCGAGCTTTTATCTATCCCATATTAATTGTCTAGTTTTTTTACACGCACTGTAAATTGTACATTATGATCTAGCTATGACTACTATGGCCATGAAGTTTAGTTCAAAACCGGAGGCAGCAAACGACGGTTTTCTTCATTGGAATATTATTTTAACTGGATAATCATTACTTGGTTAATATTTTGAAATAAACCAAGAATTTTCATTGTAAAATTTTTAAAAGATTGTAGTTGCATATTGTCCGATGTTCTCCTTTTCTCACACAATAATTGTTATTATAAAAACAAAAGCTCATCTATTTTAATTCACGTTATTTTTTCACTCAAAATCAAATCATTGAATTGTTTTACTTAACTAAAATGAGAAAAAAAATTTTAAATTAAAAAATAATGAAATCCGCTACTTTATAAATTACATTATTTCTCTTTTTTTTCTCTTTAATATCTTAAATGTTCATAAATTTTCAATTTATAAAGCAAAAGGAAAAAAAAAAGAAGATCTTTGATAGCATGATTTTTACTTTATACATATAAGAATATAAAATTTTATCCGCTATTAAACTGAAACACTAATAACAAAATTATGGACAAAGTTTTGCACTTCTTCAAAAAAAAAAATACAAACTATGAAAGAATCTTCATATTTCTGTACTGCTCCTTCTCCTTAATAAAAATTATGCAAGATTTTCAATTTAACAAAATATACACGCAAAAAGCTACAATAGTATCCCTTCAATTTTGGAAAAAATAAATACAAAAAATAGTTAACCAATATAATCAGAGCAACCACCCTCTATAAGGCACATCTGAATGCAAAATATTTTCGAATTTTCAAAAAAACAAAATTTGTGTAAAAATTATTTGCATTATTTGAAATGCAAAATAATTTTTACACCAGTTTTGTATTATTTTAATTAAATATACTATAGGAGACTATGCAAGAGTTAATATAAGAGTTAATAAAATTGTATAGAACAGAAAGTATCGTTTTTCCCGAAAGTCTTATTAAAAAATTGCTCGCATCACTATTTTAATATGAAGCTTTAAGAATTTTTCTTAATTTAATAGCAAAATACAAAACAAAGAATGAAAAAATTAAAATTAAATTTCAATGAGATTCAAGACAGAAAATTTTTCAATATTAAAATCAAATAAATTTTTTAAATTGAATTTCTTCTCAAATGAAATTAAAGAATTCTTTTAAAAATATTTTAATGAAAACGCATTTGTTTATTATTATTTGAAAAAGAAATATAATTCTACATTTGTATGGCATGAACTGAAGAAATATTTTTCGACTTTTAGTCATGATTCGAAAATTCTTCTTTTGGGAATTTTGTGCAAAACAACGCACATGTACTCAGAAATAATTCAGAAATATTTTTTTATATAAATTTCAAGCCATGTAATTCCGAAATTTAAAAATATTATTCATGAGAAAACTTTTTGATCTAGTATCTCAAAGCACTTAAAATTTAAACATGCTTTTCCTTACACAGAAATAAATTTTTTCTGAATGTTCAAAATATTCATTCAAAATGAAGGTTGTTCATTTATGAATGTCAGCTTCTTAAGAAAATTCTGCCTATTCACAAACATTTGTACAACATCCTTATAACAACGCATCAATAATTGGAATTACCCCGATAGTTTTGCAACCGCACATTTGGCTGCAAGGTAATCGCAATCATCTCATGTAAATTTATTCTACAAACGAATCATTTGTGTTTTTAATGTTGAAACTTTGAATGCTCTTCTATGTTCTCTTCATCAAAAGTTATGTTTGCTTTCATGCCTTCAGCTAATGCATGATATTTTACTAAAAGAACTTAAAGCTGCTTGTACTAAAATAGAAAAAAAAAATTGTCATTAGAAAAGTAATGAATGAACAAAATTTACATTACAAGCTTGAAAATGATCAATACCCTTTTGTTACATCACCATTTAAAAGGAACTTTTATTCAGATAGAAAAACACATTTTTAGAATATGCGTGATGAATCAATTTTTCCATTTATAATACGTACAATTCTAGCTTATTTTTAACGCTAATATTTTGATTTTAAATCAATCAAAGACAGATAGAAATGTGCTAAGTAATATCAGCTCCTATTCTACGATATCCTGGAACCTGGAAGAATAAACAGTTCATAATATTTATATTACATAACATGAATTTTAAAATTTTTAGTTCAAAGAACTATCAATTATTTTGAAAAATGTAATTACAGCTACATACATAATATTAAACTAATTTCTCTCTGTTCCAAATTAAAAATCAAGCTACCTTTATTTGTGAAAATAACTGGAATTTGAAAACCAAACAAATTTGCATTAATTTCTAACCATTTAAAATATAAATGTGTCAAATATGATAGCAATTTTCTTGTTCTTTTTGAAAACTTTCGTTAAAGGTCGCACAACACTGGCATTTCTGTTCTCGAACAATTAATCCTCTTCAATCTTCAATCATACATTCTGATTATTTAAAGCCGTTTTGAAGATAACATGCAATATCTAAAAATTTATTGTTGCAGGATGCTTTTGAAATAACTTATAGCTAGTTTGAACAGTTGTAAATCAGTCCCTTTGTAAAGTAATAATAGAGGGTAAAAAATTTTGTATAAGTAGAAAACTTTTTTATTTTGTGTTTTCCGAAACAAAATCCAGCTAACTTTCCATTTTCAATCCAAATTTTTTTTTTTATATAAAGGATCATTTTATTCAGAAATTTTTTTTCGCTTATAATTTTGTCATTTTATCCTTTTTTGTCTTTTACTTTC